CAGTAACACAGTCAAAAGTCTTCAATAGTAGATCATGAACTCGAATCCTTTATTCTCATTAGTCAGATCATATTCGGAAATAGCAAAAACAAAAAATCAAACTCTTATGAGTAACAGCTCCGAGCTAATTAATCAATTTTGAAATTGTGGACTATGTATGACATATAAATCTGAATGATCTATGAATATTCTGAAACGAATTCAATCTTTCAACTTATTGATTTTACTAAATGATCATAGTGAAGAATTTTAGAAAATCTTTACCGATGGACAAATAATAAGACCATATGGTCCTTCATTACGTATAAATGGCATTGTTTTTTCTTGTTCAAGACAAAACATAACAATAGGTAAAACAAAAACTAATGTTTTTCCACTTCCAGTATAAGCAATACCAATAAGATCACGACCAGATAAACTAGAAAACAAAAAAAAATATTTTATTTTATTAAATAAACAAAAAAACCAAAAATTTCATACACTGATGGAATGCCTTGCATTTGTATAGGTGTAGGTCGCATAATTTCTTTTTCTTTTAATGCATTTAAAATACCAATTGGTAATTTCATATCCTAAAATACGAAAAAAATAAAAATTTATTCATTAAAAAATCAATGATACAAACTTCAAATCGACATAATGGTGGTGGAATATCATCACCTTCAGCAATAATATTATAAATTTTTCGAATATTTCGATGACGTTCTTCTGACATTCTAAGAACAGCTCGTGGTGGTCTCCAACTACAGATATTAAAAAAATAATATTTTTATTTATTTTGTATTTTAAATCATTTACCTTGTTCGAATTGGATCTGTATATTCAATACCTTTAGCTATTTCAGCTACACCCATTAAAGCTAAATAATGAAAATAATATATATTAGCAAAATTATTTATTAACAATATAATTTCAAAAAATAAAAATATGTACAATCTCGAGATAATGAACTTTCTTAGATTATTTCAGAAAACTTTCGACATTTATTAGAATCAACTTTTCTTATGAAAGTTTATGATAAACAAAAAAAAAAATTTTTTTCTTTCGAGAAACATGTTTACATAAAACTATACTAAAAAGAATTTATTCAGATGTATTATATGTCATCGATTACTTGAAATAATATATATTTTTACCTCGTGTTTCTACGACATTTTGAAGAATTCGTTCTTCTTCTTCAAGTATTTTATCTGTACTTGTTTGATCAGATAAATCTAATAAAATTAATTATAAATAGAATTAAATTATTATATAAACTTAAAAAAAAATTTTTACTTTGATTTTTTTTTATTTCACTCATTTGATCAAGTAATGTAAAATTAGCTTGTGGTCCAACAGTTATTTCTTCAGCAACCGATTGTGTATGTGCCGTATCCGATGAAAACGGATGATCTGTATTATCTACATTTATATGACTGACATTTAGACCGCCTAAAACTCGTTGTAACTAAAAAAAAAAAAAACAAATTTTTACAATAGTTTAAATACAGAATTTTTTTCTATAGTTAATAACCTAGGACAAACAATATTAGAATAGTTACATCCCTAGTTACAAATTGCCCAATAAACTAATCTCATGGAGAACTTTGTTAGTGTGAAGTTTAATGTTAAAACTCGAAAGTTGAGTTTTTATTGAAAAAAATTCATCTCAAGAAAGAAGACTTGTAAAGTCAAATCATTTTAGATATTTCTATCAGTTATTAAATAAACATTATCTCATTCGAATTGGAAAATTTTAGATTATCTCTTTAGATATAAATTACTATTTTAATTTTAAGTCTTTAAGTAATTTTGATATAATGAAAATAGAAAAAACTTACTTGTTGTCGACGTCGTTCTTTTAATGGTACAAAAACATTTTCATCTCCATTTTTATTTATTGTTTCTGATTCATCATCATCATCTAGTTTAAATTCATCTTCAGATTCTGACTGTTCCTATTAAATCGAAGATTTTTTATTTTAATTAATCAAATATCTTCATATCATTCTTACAATTCGTCGTCGTTTTGCTTGAAACTTTTCAATTTCGTCTCGTCTTGAATTATTATCCGTCATATTTATTTATCTGAATTTTATAAACAAATACAAAAGTTTATTTTTTTAATGAGATTTATTATTAATCTGGTTTTTTTTTTCCTATAGAAAAACATAAACAATATATCTAGTTTTTTTTTTTTTTTGCTTTATTTTAATCACATTTTCTTTTTTTTTGTGGTGTTAGATAATATTGTCTTTGTGAGAAATATGTTTTCGTATTTACAACAAAACACAAAAAGAAAAAAAATAGTAATAATTCAAATCAAAAGTGTAACAAATTGTGGTTGATTATGAATATCTTTTCGACACATTGGACATGAACGATTTTTTAACATCCATTCACCAATACATGATGAATGATATTCATGTGAACAAGCCAATATACTAACTTCTTGACCACTACGATATGATTCAAGACAAATTGAACATTCAGATATACTTTCATTATTTGATAATGTTGGTGATGGTGATGGTGATAAACATATTGTTACTGATGATGTATTTGTTATTGTTGGTAAATTAATATTTAATTTTGGTTCTTCTTTAATAGTTACACTGTTTTTTGATGATTTATTAAGAACTCGTTGAATAACTGTTGCCTAATCGATTAAAAAAAAAAAACAAATTGAATTTTTTTTACAAAATCGAATGATTATAAAAAAAAACCTACACTTGGTAATGTTTGTGCAGTACAAATACCATTTTGTAATAAATTTTGTTGAATTTCCCAGACAAATACAGTTGGATTATTTGTTTTAAGTTTAAGAATTTCATTACGAATATGAGCAGTTAAACGTGGACGTTTAGTTTTTTTGGACGGAATAGAACTTTTCGATGTTTGTGATATCGTTTGATTTGGAATGGATGATGATGATGATGGAGCTAATGAAAAATTTATTGGTGGTATTATATTATAAAATGATGGATAAGAATTATTCGATGCCATTTGTGATACTCGAGAATTCATAGAAGATTTATCATTTATTGATATTTGTGAAGATGATGTAGTTATTGGATTATAAGATGGATACGAAGCTAAAATAAAAAAATAACAATTAAATATCGATAATATAGTCTCGATTCTGTCGGAACTCGAAGCTAACGCTTTTTTTCATTGAGAACGAGTTATGTAAAACCTGGATCGAATTTCTCATGACTCATATGTCCTAGACAGATATCAATAAGGTGATGTTGATCCCGACAATAACCAGGGCTAGGCCACAAAACAATCGATCCTACTCATTTTTATTAGTAATATTTTTGTTCTTCTATGCTACACATTTATTCATTCTAATTAAATACTAAATCGTATTAACTCTATTTATTTATTTCAAAATCTAAAAATTAGATCGCAAAAAATATATATATATATATATAATTATAATTAACATCTAAATTATTAATTATAACATACATGATGATCCTGAATAATTTTGATATGAAGCACTTTGTGTACGTATTAAAGATGTTCCATTATTCCAATTAAAAAATAATTCCGATGGATGATTTGTATAATTAAATGGAATATTTGAAGAAGAAGAATGATTATTAGATATAGATGGTGAATACATTGAATTTGATGTTTGTAAAGTTGATTCAGCTATTAAAAAAAAATCAATAAATATTATATAATATATTTATCAATATATTCATACTATGACGTCGATAAAAATTTGGATTTGTATTATTAAGATTTGGAATTGTATCAAAAGATGAATGATGATAATATTTATTTATTGATGGTATACCACCGGTTGTAAATAATGATGATTGATTATATGTTGAATAATTTGGTTTTTCCCAAGAATTATCATGACGATAATCATATGTCATTGTTGGATATGAACGATTCACTGCATAGTTATTATAATCTAATAAGAAGACAAAAAAAACATAACCAAACATAATATAATATCTTTTAAACTTACCAATAGATTGAGGCATTGTATTAACGATATTTTCTGTTACTGTCATCATGATCTAAAACTATATATATATATACACAAAAAAAAAGCGATCATTATTCATTCATTAAAAAAAAAAAAAAGTAGACCCACTTCGTCACGACAACTGTATGTATGTGTGTGTGTATGCCTTCTTTCTATAGATGAAGAATAGACATTTGTTCGTTCTGAACGAACAAATACAGGAGAATGAGAAAAAAAGAGAGATGCTCGACGTCTCGTCTTTCTCTTAATTATACAGTTTTGCTCTTTCGTTCTGTCAGCTTTTTTTTTCTCTTGTGGATTTTTTTTTTCTACAAAGCAATGGAAAATGGAACTATGCTATCTCATTTTCTATTCTTTGTGAATGGCGGTCGACATCCTCTCGTCTCCCGTCATTATAAATATATACATACGGACACTCCTTTCTTTTCGTTCTGATGTCGGACTAGATGATAAGACAGATATATATATATAAGATGCATGACCACTACTGTCAAGCTAGTTGTAACTCACAAAAATGATAATTGATCACTCTCATATATAAGCTTCAATGGTTTACTTTCCTATCGGGAGGTTAAGAGAAGAAAAATGTGAGCATCTGTCTATGGTATGACCCATTTCTTTTCACGCACCAATAAGAAAAAGAAAGAAAAAAAAAAAAAAATAATCTTGTCTATTACTTTTTTTTGAAACAAAAAAAAAAAACTGAATAGAAACAATAGACAGTAACCTAACATGGTAGAAGTGATAGTTAATTCTCTCAAAAAAAAAAAAGATACTTGTCTTACACAAACAAAAAAGAGAATATTGAATGTAAAATAAGGAAGACAAGACAAAATACAGAAAAGAATGTCTATATATATATAAATGTATTTTTTTTTTTTTGTTGAACATCGCAAAAAAAAATATATATACATAGACATAATATAAGATTTTACTGTTGTACACAATGAAATATATCTATCTAAATCAATAAATGATATAATACAATTAAATATACATATATATATATATATTAGCAAGTCGATAGAAAATTATCTCGACGACAAATAGGACATGATGAATTCATTGCAAACCAACGTGCAATACATTTTGAATGATATTCATGTTGACATGGAAGTACACGAATATGTTGTCCATTTTTAAAATGTGACATACAAATAACACATGCTGTTTGTTTTGATAATATTGTTGATGTTATTATTGGTATTTTATAACGATAAGAAAAAAATTGTTGTATATCAACTTTATTAAAACGATTTGGATCAGATAATTTTTCTGCTAAATCTAATAATTGTTCATAATTTTCACGTTCACGATATGAACGCCATGGTTGTTGTTGAAATAAATGATAATGATGATGATGATGTTGTTGTTGTTGTTGTTGTTGTTGATGTAATTGTTCATCAGATGAACATGTTGATGTTGATTCAGTTGATGAATCCGAATGTGCTGGTGATATATTTCCTGTTCGTATAATTGTTTGTTGTTTATTATCAAATAAAAAATTTGTTGTACGTAATGGACTAGAACTATTTAAACGTATATTTGTTTTTGAAGATTTTGATATAGTACCTTATTTAAAAAAAAACAAATAAATAATTTTTAGCACAAAAATTTTTTTATTTACTTTTTTGATTTGATGTTATTAATGAATTAGGAAATATAGATGAATGTTGTTGTTGTTCAGTTAATAATGATGAATATTGATTAGATAAATTATGTTCATGATTAGGTATACTATTTGTTCGATGATATGTTGTTGGATGTAATAATGATGAAGGAATATTATTAAAAAATAATGATATATCATTTGTTGTTTGATGATTATTCCATGTTGATAATAAATTATCTTCTATTGGTTGTTGTTGTTGTTGTTGTTGATGAAAGAATAAAGATCGACGTTTATTAGTTAAATGTGGTGGTTGATTTTCTAATTCAATCTTATTATTATTATTATTATTTGAATTTTCATATCGAGCTCGTTTATATGTCTAGAAATTAAAATAAAAATGAATTATTTTTTTTTTTTGTAATATACTCAAAAGTGTACAAGAATAATTTCGTAGAGAATTTTGGATTTTGAACATATTTTTAAAGTTGTACTCGTGAAAAAAATAATAAAATATAGATACTATAATAAATTTTTTAATTTGAAACAGGAAAATCAAACAATGATGTACTATTTTATCTATCGAAAACTTTTTCAACTATATATAATAAATTCTTATTAATTATCATTTTAACTTACAAATGGTTCCTGTTCATGAAGAAATTGATGTGTTGTAAAAGTGACTAGATCATCTTGTGCTGATCGTTTTCGAGTTCCTATTGTTGATGTTAAATTAAAATTTCTATCATAAATAAAATCTTGATTATTTGAATATAATTGTGTTGATAAAGATTGTTCATTAGTCATTGAACAACGACGACGTTTATTTGATATAGTTACTGGTGTTGATAAATATTCAATTGATATAGGTATAAGTTGTTCATGATTAGAATTTGTTCGATTATTTTCTTCATCAATATGATCATTATTAATTAAATTATTATTATTATATCGTCTTAAAGATGAATTATTTTCGTTTTCAGCCATAATTTTTCTTTTCTAAATTATCATCATTCTAAAAAATAGAGAAGAAAAAAAAAAAAAAAAAATCTTCAATACAAGGCAATAATCTATCAACATACATATATACAATAGACGCCCTAACTTCACTCGTTTGTAAGCAAAAAAAAAAAGAAGAATGAGAAAAGAACGAATGTCTACTGATTCATGCGTACTCATATGTAGGCAACCAAAAAAAAAAAAAGGGAGCATAGGAGAATCGTGAGTGCATACTCTCGTCGCTACAACACCGACATACATACATATATGTGAATATATATAGAAAAAAAGAATGAGGGAAGAGAGAGAGAGAGATGAGGGTCAATAAAGATGATCGTTCTCGTTTTTTTTTTTTTGGGAAAAATAGGTCGTCTGAACAATGTTAAAAGTGAAAGAGAATAAATTACAATGATTATTAATCAAAAAAAAGATATATAATTAACTAATAGAAATGAACATAGGTCTGATTGATTAAATACCATTGAATTCAATGACAAAAATTCTTATCTATCTATGATGTAATACAGTTTGTACATAATAAATGATCAAGACATTTACTTAAATTTTAAGGACAAAATGTAATATTCAATTGATTAAATCAAACTTCAAAAAGATATGATTAAAATCAATAGATAAAAAATAATAAATGAATGATGATCATACTATCAGTAATGAATTCTTATAGACTAGACAATCTTACAAATAAATAATGGAGCTTTTACACTTTAGAATCTCAAATAATCAACTGTCTCGCCCTCACGCACACTTTCGTGCTTGTGTTGTGACCAATCAGATATGTCTGGGGTCCTAAAGTGTAAAAGGACCTGATTGTCCCCCCCTCCGCAGTCAGAAATATTAGGAAAAATAATTTTTGAATTATGAAATCAAAAATTTGCATAGAAGTAAACTTCAATGAATATTAGTTTATTGTATAAATTTTAGACCGTTGTTCATTGTTTGTATCTTAAAATATACATCGTCTATAGTAATAAAATATCTAATACATCCTTCATATATTCGATGTTCTTATTTCCAGATAGAAATACTAAAAAAGATCTGAAACATTCACAATAAATAATGATACATTTTTATATAAAATTTCAAATTGAAAGTTCATAAATTAGTTTTTCTTGTTGTGATGAATTAGGGACTATAAAAATGTCGAGATTAATAGGCTAAAACTCTGAACTATTTTCAGGATATTCATAGTTCGTTAGAGTCTGTATAGTCTTAATTTATAAGCGCTTACTCATTTAGGAAACTTTCCTCGTAAATATTTCACCATATATTCGAATGTTGAATCATTAACTATATAACGATAAATAGACAATAGTTTACATTCTATTTTTAATTATAATCTGAAACAAAAAAAAAAAAAGTATGTTTACAATATTTATGGGAGATCTTCGAATTATCGAAGATTTGTTTGTTTTTTTTTAAACAAGTTTAATTTACAAAAAATCCTAAAAATTAAACATAACTAGAAGATAAACATTCGTTGATATAATATTGTTTTTTTTTTGTTGTCTCTGATTACCTACATACATATATGTATGATAGTAAACAGATAACGAGAATAGGAATTTTAAATATTAATATTAAATAATTGTTCAAATTGATGATGAAAATCTTCTTCATATATTGTCCATTCTTTTAATAAATGATCTAAATTTTGAAATATATTCTTTATATTTTTACTATTATTATAATCATTAGTCATATCAATATTTTGTATTAATAAATTAATATCATGTTGAATAGTATTTAATTTTTGCCATGTTTGTTCATTATTAAATTGTAAATATGCACGTTTTAATGCATATAATGTTAATGATGAACATTCATTTAATAATGATATTAATATTGAAAGTTTTTTTTCAAATATATTTTTATATGAATTTTTTATTGAAATTTTTTGTTTTTTATTTGTTAATTTAATATTATTAATAAATTGTTGTTGAATATATTCATCTGTTAATGGATGTTGATCAGATAAATAATCATGAACGAATTGAATACGTTCTTGAATTTTTATTGATAAAGATGATGTAAATTTTGTTTTTTTATTATGTTTGAATATTGATGATTGTTGATGATCATGATCAGATTTGAGCTAAAAGAATAAAAAAATAATTATACTTCTGAATAGAGAATTATAGATTTTTTTTTTTTTTATAAACTTCTTTTAGTTTTATTAGTAAAAAATTACAATCGTAGATTACAAAGACATAAAATCTATTAGAGAACTTTTTTTTTACTATGTTATGATAAATACCTGCAAGCTAAAAAGAAAAAGAATAGATTCTTTTTTTTCATTATACGTAAATCTTCTTTTCGGAATAAATATTTGTAATATGTTCTGCTATTTTCAGCATTAATTTTGCCTTTCTATCGACTAACTAATCTTGAGATGATTTTGCGGAAGTTTGAAGAGAAAAAAAAGAAAAGAATGAATGTTTTTCATTCGTGTCACTAAATCATTTTCGACAGCTTCCTAGAATGATCACTCGATTAATATAAAAATCTAAAAGAATTCTTTTATTCAATCTTTCTTTGAATAAACAAATCATATTCCAAGTTCATCAAGTATAATCAAAGGAATATTTAATCATAATATTAAACTATGTCTTTTTGACATTATAGAATTTTCTCATTAATATATTTAATTTGTAATTTGTCATAAAGCAAAAAAAAAGGGCTATAAAATTTCATGTCAAAAATATTTCATATATGACCTATTTCCGGTAAAGCAAAATATATTCATCCTTCATTTGACATTAATTCTTTTAACAGGGTTATTTATTAGTTTTTGAATTAGGTTTCTTTTTTTTTATAGTTTACTATTAATTAGAAAAAATAAATATTTTTCTAAACATATGAAAAAGAAAAAAAAAAGAATTTAAAAAGTTCAGAATAAAATACATTTCATCTATGATGAAATTTTAAATTGAATTTTTGAAACTCAATTTACTATTTAAAATTGATTTTAAACTTCTTATTCGATTATAAGAATATTTTTTTATTTGTACTCATTGACATTGCTAATTTTTTCAAGATATTTAGAGTAACTTGACATATGCATGCTTTTATAACTAACTATCCAAATATAGAGGTAGAAATATTTTATTTCCGTATAGAAAGCTTATATAATGATAGTACAATGTTATTTGATCATTCTTCAACAAATATCATAAAAATAAAATGTTGATAAGAACTGTTTTTCTATGATATGTGACAATTATACCAATGGCTATAAAAATGACAAGTGCATATTTTTGGAAAATAAATGGTGTCTGAAGTTTATTGAATCGATTTTATAATTGACGAAGAAATTCATTTTTCTATTTCGAACAATAAAAATCGCACCTTTCTATTCCTAATTTCTATCAAAATGTTATTCAAAAACAAAAAATATTCACTTGTCCTTT